CTATATACGAGATCATGTCATATAAAAATAAATACTTTTTTCTTCTTTTATACCAAGCTAGGCTGCTCTTAGCTCTTTTCTGTTTGCTCTGGGCCGCTGGGGTGATGAGAAGGGGGCAAGAGCAGACAACCTCATCTTGCTCCAGATCTGAAGGGAAAAGCTTTCAGTCTTTCACCATTGATATATTAGTTGTGAATTTTCATAAATGCCTTTAGTCAGATTAAGGAAATTTCCTTCTATTCCTAGATTGTTAAATGTTTTCATCATGAAAGTGTGTTGGATTTTGTCAAATGCTTTTTCTTCATCAATTTAGATGATTTTGTGTGTTTTTAATGTGGTGTAGTCACTTGAATAAATTTTACATGTTGAATCTCTTTCATTCTTGGTAAAAATGCCACTTGTTCATGTGTAAAATTATTTTCATATCCTGCCTTATTCATTTTACTAGTATTTTATTGAGGATTTTTTGTGTCTAGATTCATAAGGGATATTGTTCTGTAGTTTCCTTCCCATGACATCTTTCTCTAGCTTTAATATCAGGGTAGTGCTGGTCTCATCAAGTGAGTTAGGAAATGGTCCCTTCTATTCCACATTTTGGAATAACTTGAAAAGAATGGATGTAAATTCTTTAAATGTTTGCTAGAAATTACCAGTGAAGCCATAGGGGCAAATATAAACATTTTCCAAGGACGAAAGGACACAAACCTCACATTGAAAGCATTCTCATTAAGCCAGCACAGTTAATGAAAAATGTTCCACACTAAGTAATTTTATCATGAAATCAGAACCAAGAGAGCAAAGGTCCTCCAAGCTTAGAGAGAGGAAGCAGCACACACAGGGATCCATACTGAGAATCAGTATTGTGTCAGGTTGCTCCACGGCAACCCTGGAAGCTGGAGGGCAATAAATCAATGCCTTCCACATCTGAGAAAATCTCTCCAACCCAGAACACTGTACCCAGCCGAATTATCCATCAGAATGTTAAAGTATGTATACAAGGACTCAAAAATGTACTTTTCTTGCAGAAAAGACACGGAAACAGGGGCTCCAACATAGAAAAGGTGTGAAAGGAGGAACCTGGGCAACAGCTGCAAATTAGGCTTAGAGGAAGCCCATCCAGGTGGGAGAATGCAGGGAAGTGGAAGGGAGGTCTGACGTGTTTGACTATTTTGAAATTGAAATTTTGGTATTACGCTTTGCATTTGAGAGTTCTTTTTGGAGCATTTGGATAAAATAGCAAACTAAGCAAATGAAAAAAAATGAGGAAATGATTAACTCCAGATTAAACAAAATGTTGTACATAAAAGAAAACATAACTGTACACTACTCGGAGAAATTGTGGAACATATTTATATAATCATAAGACTGAAAATGGTGGTATTGATTTGACCCAGTATCAGAAGGATGAAGGGAAGATGATACATAAGAGAAGGTATTTAGAAAGCTAAGCCCTCATCTACCATAACAGAAAGTTATTAGACAGCATCTAGGACTGATAAATTTATAAATCATTCCATATACATACAGATGCACATATATATGGAAATATGGACATGAATACCAAAGAAAAAGCTACAAGAACTTAGTGGTTACTTCCAGGGAACAGGACTGGGGTAAGGGGAGGTGGAACAGGAGTGGGGCAGAGAACTGGCATTTTTTTCAATAATCTTTTTACTATCATTTAACTTTCTAAACACAAGAGAGGTAACAATTTAATCTGCCAAGTAACATCTTAGTGTAAATGAACTTATCAGGCCCTTTTTCCCAAAGGACTTTTGTTGGAGGGAGGTCTGGAGAGAGCACACATAAAAAATAAGGAAATTTTACTAATTTCTGTGACCCATGCTGTTGGTACTATTTCTGGGACTCAGTCCTGGGCCTACCTTCCCCTTCCTCCTCTTCCTCTACAGTCCCTACCGTCTTATCCACTCCTAGACCTTTAATTACCTTCAATGAACTGGTGACCCTCCACTCCAAGTCTGGCTGCCCTAGAATCTAGCCTGAATGTTATCACTAACTTGCCATGGGACTTTAAGGGGGTCGCTTCTCTTTGGTCCTTGGTTGTCTCATCTACAAAAGGCTCAGACCAAGTGATCTGTTAGTCCTTCTCCAAATGGGAGTGGTGACAGCAGAGACGGTTTGTGTGTGTCCAGCTGTGGGGGACCCTCCCGGAACGTTGGCCTGGAGTGGGACGTGGGCCCCTGGAGCCCCTGTGCCAGCACCCTGGGGTAAACACAGAGATCCCAGTGTTCCAGAACCTAGTGCCTGAGCGTTGGAGACTGCTGCCCTCTGCTGCACAGAAACAACCTACCGGAAGGCCACACAGGCCTCCCAAACCCGAGACAGCGGACAGGCCCCGGGAGCAGCTCACTCAGGAACCAGCCTGTGTGCCCTGAGGAAGTCAGTGAAAGATCAGCCATGAAATCTGTGCCAGGGCTTCAGTGTGACCTCATCTTATCCACAGGGGTCACTCCCCGCAACCCTGACAGGCAGCAGGCTGATTGAGGTAGGACACGCAGGGGCCACGGCTGTGCCACCGTCCAGGAGACTCCAGGCAACTCCAGAAACAAGCCCCAGTGTCACTGCAGGAAGGCCAATGAAGTACAGAGGCAAGGGCAGAGAGGTGAGGCAAAACAGCCCTTTCCCAACAGAGGTGGCTGGAAAGATGCTCTGGGCCTTTGGTTTGATCACCATCCGGACATTCTCATCTCTGAGACAAGGTCAATGAGCCAAGCAGCCTGACAACGGTGTTGTCTGTGGGGGTAGAGTTTTCCACTTCCACCTGTGTCCCGAGGCACAAATCATATGGTGTGGTTTTTCTTCTCATGACCCAGAAGCACGTTATTGAAGTTCCTGCCCCAAAGCGTAATGAACAGAATCCAACACATTTCATGTCCTCAGGCCCTCTTCTCTGCTGCCAAGTGCACAGACCTCAGTGTCTCTTCTAAGCAGTGGACACATGTGCAGTGAGTGTAATAAAGGGAGGGGGAGAGTGTGAGGAAAAACTTTCCCACTGAAACAGCCACTCATCTAAATATAGCCCATTCTGGTTTAAACACTGATTAGTTATTCCCAGAACTGTTCTGCTAGTCCCTGCAACCACACACACCCCCATGTGCACACACACAGACCCATACAACATGCAGACACATACAGGCACACACAGATACATACGCACACACACACACACACAACAGGCAGACATACACATGTACCTACAGACACGTGCACACACATGCATACAGATACACATGTAAACACATGTAAGCACACATACCGACACATACAGGCACATAAATACATGCAAGCACATACACAGACACATACACATGCATGCACACATATAAACACACACAAGCACACATACAGATACATATGCACGCACACACAGACACACACACTCCTTCCTATAAATTAAGAGGAAATGGGACAGAAGCTTGAGAGCAGTGACTGGCCGAGCTGCTGTTGCATGACCGTGTCGCAATTCCCCTTACTTCTCACTGCCCTGGGCGTGGCCCTGGTGGCAGGCAGCATCTGGTCCTGATCTGGCCTCTTGGGGGCCAATCCAAGCTCTGACCTCGTTGCCTTTCATGTGGACTGCTCTCCCTCCCTGAGTTTTCTCCACCCTCCTGACCCTGGCAGCTTCAGAGCCGCCACACACTGTCTGGCTCTTTCATCCATTCAAAGGCTAGGCCAATGCATGTGGCATTTTCCAGACATTGTGGGGTGAGAAGGCGTGGCAGGGTGGCCCTCACAGCTTCCTGAAATCAGGGTTCAAGAGTCGGGTGCCATTGGATTTTAATCCCACTCTGCTGCCAAAGCCTCTAACTCCCATTTTCATAAACATGTACCCTATTCTACATTTTCTTTTCTTTTCTTTTTAATGTATCTTTATTGATTTCGGAGAAAGGAAAGGAGAGGGAGAGAGAGAGACAGAAACATCAATGATGAGAGTCATTGATCGAGCCTGCAACCCGGGCATGTGCCCTGACCAGGAATCAAACCCCGATCACCTGGATCCTAGGTCGACGCTCAACTGCTGAGCCACGCCCAGCCGGGCCCGATTCTGTATTTTCTAAGTAGGCAGTTATTTTTCAGGGACTCATGAAGGAACAGACTGCCACCACCTCACACCCGGATCCCACCCCAGTCCTTTCCAATCAAACCCCAGTCCCAGCCTCCAGTCCCGGCATCTGGCCATGGCAGGTGCTACCTAAGGGCGGGAGGGAGCGGCGGAGGAAACGAGACCAGCCAGGCCTGCCCTCACACCCACGAGGAGCTCATTCCGATGGAGAACACAAGCCTTACAAATCTTTTTGAGAAATGGGATGGAAAACAGCGAAATCGGGCTGTTAAGCTCTCCTCTAGACATAATTTTTGGAATTTCTCATTTATCCAGATGCTAATTTTATGAGTTTGGTCAATAAATGCTATGTAAAATGTATTTATAAACTCAATATTTTCACACAAACCTTATTTTAGACACAGAGAACCCTTACAAGTAATCTATGGCCCATATTTTTATAACCACACTCTTCTCTTTCTTAAAAATCTTCTACCTGGAAACAAACAACACTCCCCCCGTCCCCTGCCACAAAAAAAAAACCCCAAACACCTGGAATGACAGTGGTAACTTGCCTAGGGAAATGCAGGAACTACATTCTTCTGAACCCTCAATGCCACAGACACTTGGGCAGAGAATGAAGCACTGATATGAAACGAGGTCCCCAGCCTGACGGGACTGTGAGCCAGACATCCTGCTGAGGACACGTCCCAGGTGCTGGCCCCTTCATCCCATCCCCTCAGCTGTGCTCAGTGCTCACATCCCAACACAGCCCAATGCGCCCGTGGAGGACACTGCCTCTCTGGGCGAGAACCAAGTCCAGAGTCAGGCACTTGTTAGAAAACTCTGAGTCTGCAATTTCCCACGATGGTGATTTGTTTTTTGTATTATCTCAAGTTTCTCCCAAGTTTCCTGTTTTCCCAACAGAATGAATTCCTCAAGGTACAAATGACACTCCAGAGACTAAAAGAAAAGTTTATTTTCCTTTTAAATTACTTTCTTAAAAAGTTTACTTTTTGATAAAATAAATCAAGCTCTCAGTATCACAGATACCTCTCGGCATGAACAAGGCATGTTATTACCATGTACAACTGTGAGGAGAGACACTCCCAGGCCCGAGGAGGGTGCCACATGCCAACCAGACAAGCTGCAGATGGCAACGGTCTCCAGGGCTTGGGAAAAATTATACAATTGAAAAATATAAATAAGACAGTGAGCTGAGAACATAACTGCTCTGAAGTCCAGTCCTCTGGATCCCAGGGAATGTGCAGCAGCTACCAAGGGTTCGCCAAGCAGACCTGTGGGTCCTACAGGTCCCAGTCCGCCCATCAAGAGAAGCTGCTCTTACTGTGAGGACAGCGCCTGCCTCACACCCCGTTTTTCACCAGCTCGTGGACCCCACGCTCATCGATGATCAAAGGTGCGTGGAATTCCCTGTTGGCCACGTAACTTTCCAGTCCCTGGGAGGAGGGTGGAGGGGAAACATGGTTAGAAAGTGGGTGGATACTGGTGATGCGCGATACTGGGCCCAGGGCTGTAATGATGATTTAAAGCATGAACAACCAAAGCTGGGCTGAGATGTAGAATTTAAGTCAATAAAAATCTATTTGGTACACACTGTAAACTGAGCTTAATGACCATTCATAACAGTATGAAACAACAGAAGAGTAAGATTATTCTGATTATACTGCAGTTTCTAAAGTTAGTAAGATGCTGCTCACTCTTCCTGTAATCGTCCCAAGTGCAGGTCCCTTTCTAAGCAGGGTGGGAACCAGCGCACTCAGGGGTCAGAGGCAGAGCAGGGACAGGACTCTGAGGAAAAGAACTGAGTGCAGAGGCAGCTTGGTGGCTCCTGCCCAGGATGAGCTCCACAGGGCGGGGTCCCCGAAATGCTCTGTCTTCTCTGAGGGGGACTCCACTTAATCGTCAAACAGAACCAGGCTCCACTTTTACAAGTAGGAAGAGAGCAGACACTTACTTCGCCAGCGTAGGAGACGAGGGGGGAGATTTCGCACTGGATCGGGACATCGTTGGCGTCCTTTAGGCTGAGGAGAGACCACGTGCATTACAGACTGATCCCCACGTCACTCACCAGAACAAAAGGATGGCACACGGCCTTCCTCCGAGAAGCTCGCCGAGCACAAAGCTCTGCTAGTGAACAGCCTGGTGACCGCTAAAGCCTTGAGGGTTAAGTTCACATGAAAGTGTCATGGTCGGAATGCACCATCTGGGACATGTGCCAACAGTTAGCTCGTCAAGCACCTACCTCACCCCACTGGTGCACGCACACCCTACTGACATCTCATGGTCATCACTTCTAGGTTTTATTTGACAAAGAAGGGACTACTTAGTGAACACAAACTATGTTCCAGGTATGTCACTAGGTACTTTGATCCTTTCCACAACCTAGTGAGTTAGGCACAAACATCAACAAAGATGTTAACACCGCAGAACCCCCTCTGGCAGCCACTCGGGCTACCCAAAGTTAAGCTCCTTAAAACTGTAAAAATTAATTATAAGTTTAAAATTCAGTTCCACTATCATGATGACCACATTTTAAGTGCTCTGTAGCCACAAACAGCTGACGACTGGACAGCACAGATACAGAGCATCTCCTCCGTTGCTCTCACCAAAGTCCCTTAAACAGCGGAAGCAGGACACACCCCACGAAGGCCAGGCCTGGTCACGACACACCTCCTCTAGATCACATTCAACACTGACAGCCACTTGCCATCCTGAGTTTCTCAATTACTTAACACAAAGTCAGTAAACAGTGTTTAAAATAAAAAGTCGCCCTAGCCGGTTTGGCTCAGTGGTTAGAGTGTCGGCCCACAGACTGAAGGGTCCTGGGTTCGATTCTGGCCAAAGGCACGTGCCTCGATTGCAGGTTCACTCCCTGGCCCCAACTGGGGTGCATGTGGGAGGCGACCAATTGATGTCTCTCACATCGATGTTTCTCCCTCTCTCTCCCTCCCACTCTCTCTGAAAAGCAATGGAAAATATATCCTTGGGTGAGGGTTAAAAAAATGAGATAAAATGAAATTTCATGAGAGCTCCATGGCTCTCTTCCTTGGCTGATATGCAGCCTGGAGCTACATGAGGGTCCACAGGACCAAGGCTCCTAAGTGTGGCCACACCCAGTCTTTCTCCAATAGAACCATCAGCTGCATTCAAGGTGCTCCATGTCCTACTCCAACAACCATCCTGACACTGCACTCAGACCAGGCCACTCACTCTGGGTTATCGCAACTCATCCTCCACAAGGTCCCTATGACTAGCCTAATCCTCCCAAGCACCAACATTCAGCTCAAGCCCATCCTTCCCTTGACCACTGTTTCATGTATTCTTACACAATAATGTTTATTAGACTTCTGCTAAGTCACTGCCTACTGGGTAATTGTTATTTATGCCACACATTTGATATAAACATGTACTATCATGTGTGTGCATCATGGCCTCCCAATGGGCTGAGAAGTGAATTGTTCTCAGCGAGACCTACTTCAGCACCTGTACGCGGACAGCACCTGCTGTCTGTTGGGGGTAGGCAGCCCACAGATGATGCGGAGAAATATGCTTTAAAAGGTAGGGTGGGCAGCTCTCCAGGCCTGCATCAGGCTCTATCACAAGAGCCCCGGAAACTTGGCTCAGCCCCCCGGGGAAGCTAGGAGTCACATAAACCAAATGGGAAAGAGGTCCCACCCCACCTAAAGCTGTGAGGGACTTGGGGTGCCAGGATCAGGAGGTGGTCTTGAACCCAAGGAACACACAGCTGGCCTAAACAGAACCTCCCTCAAACCACACAGATCCTCTCAAAAACTAAGAAAGTCGATTTTAACAAGCAAATCCCTGGAGGAAACAGACAGAGCCACATCACCAAATGTAAAACCTCAGGAGGCAGACAAACCAGCCCAGTCACACTATTGCCCCAATTCTTCAGCCAAGCCTGCTTTCGGTGGCTGACCCTGTTCAGGTGAAAATGGAAATAATGCCACTCCGTCAGGCCTACCCAGCATCCTTCCTTCCTTCCCTCCATTCTCAAGATCCCCAGCTTCCCCACCCTTGGGCATCTTTTAGGACCTCAGCAAGAGCCACAGCTAAGGCCATGACCTCATCTGGGGAAAAAGGTGTCAGCTCAATTATCCCACGTGAGTAAAGTACAGTAAACAGGGAGAAAAGCAGTCACTAAAAGAACCTGAACAAGGACTAACTTTAAGACTTTTTGCGTCTTAACTGAGAAGCTGGAGGTTGCTTTCAGGTGTATAATTAAGATATTTTCACTTTTCAGGTTAAAAGCTGTAGTTCAATGAGAAGGAAATTTAGGGTCAAAAATCTTTCTTAAATCATGAAGGCAGCTCGCTTTCAGATGCTGGATGGACAGAGAATGGAGGGCCCTGTACCCAGTCCCCAAGAATGAGGGGAACGGTCACCAGTGGCTCCTGGAAGAAACCAGCCGGATCTGCGGGTCCCCTTCCCGTGTTCAGGGCCACATCCCAGACACTGACAGTTATGGGACCTGCCTCTGCAGGCCAAGATAAATGGCACAGGCCAGAAAAGCACACAGATGAGACAGACCGACATCAGTGCTCCGCTGTTGCCGAGAAAACTCCTGTCCCTGCACCGGACCCTATGCACATGTCCCAAGTTGTCTTAAAAACTTACAATTCAAACTAAACCTAACAACCCTGAACATGTAACAGGCATATGATGCTGTCTCTTTAGCTATAAAGATAATGGTTTTTCAAACTCTGTCAAGCCCAGAGGAGAGAGAGCATGAAGTACTTCCAGCTATAAATTATCTGCTCTTTCTTAGCAGCAGGATAGTAAGTGACAAAAATTAACACAGAGACCAAAACGGGGAGGTGTTAATCTGAGAATAAATCAAAGAGCAGTTTTCTCCCGCTCAGGGCCTCAGGCACTATGCCCAGTGCAGGGAGACACCCCACAGAATTACTCCTCTCTCACTAGGCTCCTGCTGACAGGTATGCGCTCCCAGCGTAGGGCCTGCTCTGGATCTTACCTGTCACTTGTCAAAGCATCACTGCCCGCTCAGACACTGTGGGTGGGCTCTTAGTAAGGCATGCGGCCATGTCCAGCATGCACTGTGGCTCTGAGTTAGGTCATCCCGACAAACGCCTGCCACCAAGGAAGCAGCACCCCCACCGAAGCTCCACCCCAGCCCAGAAGGCAGAGCGCTACACTACATGGCTGCCCGTTAGTGCGAGGAAGCACAGCCCGTCACCATGCGTGGCAGCAGGCTGGGATATTTACTTGTCATTGACATCGGCTGTGACGGCCTCTGACTGTCCGCTCGCAGCAGTGCTATGTAGGAATAAAGAAGCATTAATGGGAAGGAGCAAACCACACATAACGATGAAGTGGAACTGCCAACTGTACCTGACTGGAAGGCAGGACTGATTAATAAACTCAGCAAAGGAGATGGAGGGGCTGAAAAATAAACTCAGTCCCAAGATGAAGTGTGAGGACATCCTGACATGTCAGAGCAGGCTGGATGATGAGGCAGGCCCAGCCCTGGCCCTGGCCTAACCCCACTCAACACCGCCCCTCCTGTGACAGCCCAGGCCAGCAGGCTCCGTCCTGGGCCCAGCGCTGACCCAGGGCTCCGTGCTCCTGCGCCCCACCAAACACTTCATCCCGTGAGAGTACAAACGATATGGCAGAACCACTTTATGTAAGCACAGAAACACAGAACAATTAGAGGGGACTTCTAGGTGGCAGTGAAGGTTTTATCATAAATATGAGATTCAGCTTGAAAGGGCTTTGTCTCTGGTCTGAATAGCTCTACGTGCTTTCTTGTTTTAAGTTCTAAAATCCCAGAGCTCCTCTCAAGGTTGAGTATCAGGGACTGTTAGTGGCATTCGCTCCCCTTCCTGGCACCTCTTTCATGACCTGCGGCTGCCATGGTGAGACACAGTGGCCTGTGTCTCACAGGTAGTGTAGGTGGTGGGACTTTGGGGTCCCCCAGACAGCACTTGTCCTGAGCCCACATGTGTGGGGTGACCAATCCTCTTGCCCTGTGGTACAGCTGCTGCTGAAGGCCTGACCCACAGGCACCCCAGAAGGGCTGCCTCCAGCCACTGTTCAGTGGGAGTCCTGTCCTGACGTGGTGGAGGTCTGTCTGAAACATGGGGAAAAGGCAGGCTCCTCTTTAGGAGGAGAGGCTGGCCTTCCCCTTGTCACGGGCAGAGCTGCCCCGAGTTCCCATCAGGAAGTGCCCACAGGGGTTCAAGACGTAGGAAACATGAGAGAGGAGGACGGCCTGGAGGAAGGTCGGGAGGCAGGGGCTTACCGGGGAATGGCAGGCAGGCGGGAGCCGTTCTCATCAATGAAGTGGCCCCCAGCGTTGAGCACCCAACAGTGATGAAGGGACAGGAGAGCGTGCCGGGCCGTGGTCGGGTTGTCCTTGCCATTCTGACTGTCAGCGTTCTTCAGAGGGGAGAACTCATCTTCCCGTAACACCTCATACACCACAAACTTCCTGCAGGGAACCGAACAAGGACACCTGACTACAAGTAAGGCTGCTGGCAGTGTGGCTCCCACAGCTCAGCCTCCACCCCACACTAGCAGGTCTCCACTCAGTCTCGGACAAGCGTTGAAAGGAGAACACACTTCTCCAAGGCAATGAGATCACTTCCACCCAAACTAGTCAGAAAGACCAGGAACCTTGGTGCACCAAGAACCCCTTCATGTCTGTTCTAGAAAACAAGGGTGATGCAGGAATGGGCTGGGTGAGATGACTCTTAGCTAGTTTCTTGCATTTTCATCCTGGTTGGTTCTGAGACACACCTGAGACACGACTGGAGTTGAGTGCGATCTTTCAGAGAGAGCTGCAGAGTCCAAGAACACGCTTGCTGAGAGGAGATGCTTGCTCCAGGCAGTGAGACAGCCTGAACACAGGGGCCAACTCTATCTGACCTTTCAGTCCCTCAGGCAGAGTGAGGGACTTGAGCAATCTTGCCAGAGACCCAGATAACAAATGAACCGAGATAAAGCAGAGTCATGGGCAACTGGACACACTCGTGGACTGTGGTTTACATGAGAGGTGAAAACGCATCCAGACCAAACGCCCACCATCAGAATGCATCCCTGACACGTGCTGTCTAATGTCCCAAGACAGCGTCCTGCCTGGGAGAGTACAGGCAGGTTCCAGGACATATAGTTCACCCCACGGGCCATGTTAAACCTACTTTGCAAACTGGAAGATGTCAAAGACGAATTTTTCCATCTTTATTCCATTTGGCTTGTCAGGCTTGATGATCTGCCCCTGGGAGTCCACATACGGAATCTTCTTCTGAGCCACGTGGTGCTGCAGCTGAGGCTCGTAAACACTAAGCAGGAAAAAGAAATAATCACTGTACAAATGTAAAATGCTCAGGGCCCAGCACTTTCAAAGTGACGGACATTAAAAACTACACACCCACCACTCACATCAATGTCTCCCCCATAATCCCATGTTTCATAAACATTCTCCTCTTTGCCCCAACTTCCCCCGAGACCCTTCCAAGTTTGGAATGGACAGTTGAATGCTAACAGTTACTACAGATAAAGTAACGCAGCTACAGACAGCACAGTGGATGGGGAAGTGGCTTGAAATTGGAGTTGGTATCCTAAGGAAAGCTAAGCCACTGAGCAGCCATCCTGGAGGCCTGAAAGCTGTCTAGTGGAGAGTCAGACAGCAAGCGTCCCTCACTCTAAAACCTGGGGACACAGCTCCCACTTGGTCCTCTGGGCAGATGACCATGTTGGTCCCTGCCTAGGTCTCAGGCGGTTCTCCTCGCTCTCTAACACACAGGCTCCTAATCTCGTCTGGGAACCAGCTCATGTAAACTGTGTCATGTAAACACATAGACGCCCTACAGCTATGTCCCCGACTCTGGCTCAGTAGCTGTAGGGCCCCGCACCCTGGCGGGAGGGGAGGGAAGAAAAGGGGCAAGCTCCACTGTGTGCCCAGCTCATGCATGGGGAGGGGCCCTGAGGCTCAGCTGACAGCCACCGTGGGAGGGTGTCTCCACTGGGCAGGGGCCTCAGGAAGAGGACCGAGTCTGCAGGCTGGACTTGGGCACCTGGCTGCTCCTCACGTGACAGTGACCAGAGCCCCAGCCCCTCCGGCCCGTACTCAACAACATCTCTCAGGAACGGCACGGTGAAGAAGTGGTTGGCAATGTTCCCCGCGCTGAACAGCAGACGGCCGTCCGGGCCGCGCCTCTGTGCGGTGGCCAGGGAGACCTCGCTGTACTCCACCACCCGGTAGGCCCCGTCCACACGGCACACCACGCCCACAGGCTCCGTCGGGTTCGTCTTCTCCACCACCTGCCCAGACAGGGACAGCACAGAAGAGACAGACGCTCATGCACTGGCCACCAGCCATTTTCAAGGCCACATGTGCAACTTTGCTTACACTGTCTCTACAGTATCGGGTCAGGAAGAATCTTTAACTGTGGGAGATCACCTGCCCCTTATGGTCTTTGAAAGACTCCTTTCCGCTTGGACATAAGGCTTAAACCTGAATGACTGGAGAGCAGAAAATCCCTCAGACACAGCCCAGAGGAGTCACCTGACCTGGGAATAATTAAATGAGAAATCTACACCCCCAAATGCCTTTTATGTTTATTATTTAATTTATCCCTAACCACACTCAACTACTTTGAGAATAAACGGAATGAAATTTCTCTGGGACTCACAAGACAAAAAAGTAAGGCATTTCGCCTCTCGTTTTATTTTACCAAATCACTCTTTCCTTTGAAAATGACATTTCTTTCACCTTCATTCATGACTACAGCACATTCATTGTTTTTCGGGGAAGTCTCTGTGAGTCAGGGAAGCAGGCAAGTTGCTGGGCTCCCACTCCACCTTCAGATAGAAAGGCCCCCCACACGTATCTGTGCTGCTAGATTTTGTCTGAAGAGGTTCTATGATTTAAAAACTCTTTGCAAATCAGTGATTAGATCATCTGCCGATGGCTTTAGGCTGGTGGGAGTGAGAGAAGGGTGTGCACGGCAATCAGGGAGATGGAAGAGTATCTAATTTAAAGCCCACCCAGGTGCTTCTGACAGCCCTCCCCAACCCCATAAGTCACTCAGTGTTTAGGAGGGACCTGACAGAACACTATGAGATCAAGACTCAGACAACACGACTACCCAACGGGAGAGTCACAGTAAAAGTACCTGAAGGGACTGCTTTGCCTGTGGGCTCATTAACGGTTTAGCATATTCCCAGGACTCTGAAAAGTATGTCCCGCATTTGAAAAGTCTGCCCTAAATACAGATGAAATCAAAACTTTTCTCCAGCAACCGATTTCTTTAAGTCAACACAGCCAGCTGCCAGCCTTCCAGAGAGCTGAGGCTATGACTGAGAACCTGGTTTGCACAGCAGTGAGGCCCAGAGGCTGGCCCTTGAGGCCTCGTGCCGGGGGCTCGGCCAGCTGTGTACTTCACTGTTTGTGCTGAAAGGACCACAGTACTCAGTAAAAAGGAACCTTCTACCAAGGAAGGGGATGAAGCTGGAGGGAGCTGTCACACAGCAAACAATGCGAACCAGTCGCAGCCTCTCAGTGATGGATTCCCATCTACCAGCCCATGCCTCTCACCCCCCACAGTGGGGTCTCACTCCGTGGGAGTCTGGAATCGATTCCTCTCGTCCCCAGGAAAAAAACAAAAAAACTGCACAAAACCCCTACTCCCAACTGCCACGGAAAACAACAACAAGCATTGTACTTTGTACACCTCTGAACTGTTCATCTCGGGGTGAAGGGTGCACTTCTATGACAACTGTTAACCTGCAAGGGTTATAAAAACCTAGATCACAAAGAAAGCATCTGTAAATCGCATGAAGCTAGAAACCACTTATACAGAAAAGATGCATAGTATAAACTCAAGAGGATTGTTCTGCTTTCCACAGTCAAAATAACCCGTCAGCCTCAAAGTCGCTGTGACTGCCTTAGAAAATGACCTTTTTTTTTTAGAGTATGTTTATTAAAACTGCAGACAATGAAACAACAACAGGAGAGCCTAGGAGGAACTGCTTTGGCTCACTGAGAAGTCAGAGAAAAGGAGGCCTTAGGGACAAGTTCAGGGGGTTAGCCCTGGACAAGCTGCCCCTGCCCAGCTCCTAACTCTAAGGGACATTTAGGAGATGCACGCCTGTGGGGGAGGATGGAGAAGGGAAAGGCACAGGTGTGCACTAGAAAATGATCTTTAACTGGCAATGGTCCTGCCCCTTCAGCTGTGTGCAAACCACTCCACTCTTCAGTCTTTTCTCAAGGCTCTCACTCCTTAAAAAACTTAACTCACGAGAAGAAGCCTATTAAGAAAGTACTGCAAAGAATTCTACTGCTGCACTGGGGCTCACTCCCTAACTCAGGTGCTTTTAAAAATACTTTTTATTATCCTAATTTTACTAAAATAAAAAGGGTGGGAGGAGAGGCAAATAAATGGTTGCTAACGTTTCTGAAAGTCTGACACACAGCAGTCCTGTGGAATCTGGATTCCAGACACAGAAGTGGGTAGTGGAGAAGAGGGACTGTGAGATTAGCTAGCTCACGGAAGTTTGCATGTCAATTAGTTTTCCAAGCTACCGACAAAAAGATAAGCACTGTAAAGAGTTTGGTTTTACAATGTAATATAACACTAAAACTAGAAGTGGGGATTGAGGCGTGGGACTAATGCAGGCCTGGAGCTCAAGGTGCTCATTTCTGAGGTCAAACTGGCTGACCAGGGTTCTCTGATATCCCTCTTCCAGGCTCAACATTACAGATAAATTTTGAGAGAAATGACAAAGTTATAATAGAACATCTCTAACCAAGGATATGGTATGTCTCTGTGGCAGGCCTTCCTTTTAAATTTTTACGATATTTAATCTTTGTCAAAAAGGCCTTCCCTTCCTTCATGTCAATGGTATAAAATTATTCTACATTTTCTTCTAACATCTTTCTGGGGTTTTTAATATTAACCTTGTAATCCATTTGAGGTTGATTTTGGTATGGGCTCTGACGGAGAGAGCTTACTTTATTTTCAGCCAGCCATCTCTCATTCCCCCACCAATCAGAAATGTGTGTTTTCACACAGTACATTCCTGTATGCACTTGGATTGTGTCTGACTGATCTCTATCCGTCAATCTGTCCTCTGCTGGCTTCTGCACCACACTCTGCATCTTTATTTACAACCCGTCTGAAAGTTGGATGGGTTGTCTCCAAACCTCGTCCCTCCTCATTGTCATCCTTTATCCACATTTCCTGGCCATCTTTACAAATTTTTTTTTTAATATATCTTTATTGATTTCAGAGAGAGGAAAGGAGAGGGAGAGAGAGAGATAGAAACATCAATGATGAGAGAGTCATTGATCAAGCCCACAACCCGGGCATGTGCCCTGACCAGGAATTGAACCCCGATTGCCTGGATCCTAGGTTGACGCTCAACCGCTGAGCCACGCCCGGCCGGGCTACAAATTTATTCTAAACTTTACAATTGCTTTGTCCCCAGATGTCCCAGGATAGTCTCAATGGGACTTTAATCAGGATGGTGTTATACTTCAATTTGGTGGTACCTTTATACGTTTCCAGGAAAGTAATATTTATATTAGTATTTTTAAACCTTGTCACGTAGTGTTGAGATCCCTCACGTTCCCTGTCTACCTGACTCCTAGACAGAGTTGATGACTTGTTTGCCTCCATGAAGCATGTCTCCCATAGCATTGCCTATGCAGCTAAAGAAATGCTAGAAAAGACAGGGGAGGACAGGGCCTTGTTCTATGGCATGATAAACCTCCCTCAAACTTAAGTCTCAGCATGTCTAGGTCATTCGAGCAATTACTAATCTCAATTGCCCTCACCCCAACCAGTGTGTTTCCATCTTATCACAAGAGTAGCAGAGGCGCCTTGTCAGATGCCTCGCTGACATCCAAACCCACTATTTGCACATTTCTCGTACTTACAACTCCAAACATCTGCACAGACGTAAGCTGACTCAATGGGTCCATCCCGGGCCTGGTGAGGATCATCTCCTTGCCCAGGTGCTTACTTTAAACTCTCACTTATGGACAAGGTACAACCTTACTTCTAGAATCAAATTTAAGAAAAAGAGTGGGTGTGGGACGGTTGAGTACTTTGGAGAGATGAGTGGTTCTAAAACAGTCCAATCACCTAATGACTCCAGTTGGACTCCTGCATGTTGGTGCTGACAGAGAAAGACCTATAAGCCTCCTGTGGAGAAAGGCCTTACCTTTGCACCACAGTCTGCTCCCTTCTGAATGCAGAATCCAATGAACCGCGGGTCTGCCACTCTCACCAAGATGTTGTCGACGCAGTAGACATGCACGCTCCAAATGCCTCTTCGCTCCATGTCCCCCACAATGTTCTGGGCGGCCAGAGCCCGATAAAGACCACCGTTCCCATCTGGGAAATGAAACAGCCCCTTAGAGCACACCAAAACCCACTATGAAGGTCACCCAAAAATTGCTTAGTGTGGGCCAAGAAAATTCAATGTCCGCAGGAAAAAGTCAAGTGTCATCACAATGCATGAACTGAAGGTAATTTTGCATAAGCATCCAGAGAATGACATCATTAATGTAGGACAAGTTAGCCCTAAACACCATACTTTCCCTTTTAACCTGCCCTTCTAACACTTTAGCCTGTAATGTATGGTGAAATACAAAATTACATATCAGGCAATGATTGTTCCCTAACATTTCAAGCTTTATTAACATTTGTTTGATTCAAGTTGGCTCTGCATTTACAGCCCTGACAATTTCACCCATGTCAAATATAAAGCTACATGAGAATTTTATACCAAATAATTTGTTTAGAAACCAGAGTAACATGGAGGTCTACGGGAACTTAAACTAAGTGCAAGTGAAAGCTTCTTCTTCCACCTCCTTTTACTGCTGCCTGATGTCCTCCTTCCATCAACAGCCTCAGCCACCGCTTAAATAACAAGAAATTAGACCACGTCCCAGATGGCACTAAGAAGAGTCAACTCTCCTGTCAGCTGAAAAGAAGTGGGAGAGAAAAGAGAGAGTTGGAAGCACCCTATTGGCACCACTGCTCATCAGCCGTCCTCCACGCATGGACCCACAGACATGAATCTGCCAACATGCTTCCTGCTCCAGTGGGGATCACACCCAGGTCACGGCTCCGGGACTGAGTGCCCTGTGCTCGCACTGCCTGGGTCTGTTTGAGGCAGAGGCCCCAAGGGCACTGTGTGTGCAGCTCTGTTTCTTGTTCTCTCCCTCAGCCTACTGAGATTATTTCTCCTGGTCATTTAGTCTCCTATCAATCATTTGAATACTATTTAAGAGGTGATACTACAGATAAACCCTAACTCAGCCTCTTACTTCTTAAACCGCAGAAGGCTGACATTTTTCCACTTCAACAAAGACAGCAGCCATGAGCAGCACTACGGCAGGGCACAGGCAGAGGGAGCGAGCTCTCCAATGCCGCTCAGACTCTCTCCAGGCAGACGTCCCCAAAAAGGATAAAAAGCATCCATTTCACCTATGGGCACTTTCATTTCTTAAAATCATGGCCAAATTGCAGAGAAATTAAAAATATTAATTTTTAGCATCCAAATCACATTAAAAAGAAAACTAAAATGTAATTACTTATGTTCGAAGCACTTAAACTAAGTGCAAGTATCATTTCTAGTCACTATTAGATAAGCAGTTTACAGACCTGGAGCCATAGAGACCCTGCCCTTCTCTTCCAAAACAATCTTCCCATCAAAAGTCATGGCCGGCAGCATCCCCTGTTGGAAGAAGACGACATTCTCCTTCTTCAGGCCGAAGTACCTGTGCCTGGTGAAGAACTCCTCCGTGGGTGCCACTGTCCTGCCGCTGGTCATGATATACCTGTGGGAAAGTGCATCCTGAGGCCCATGCCATCTGGGTCAGGCACAGAAAGTCCATCCACTTCTCGAGTGGAAGGACATCTCTGAGGGACTCAACTTCCCTCAGGGAGCCTCTTCCACCCCCTTCACCTATCCTAGTACAAGACATGTCGATGGGACAACACCGCACATGCCTCCAGCAGCAGCCAACAGCCAGCTCAAGGAACCACCTGCGAGCTCTGTGAAAAGTGTATTTTAAATTAAAAACTTGTATTCTAAATAAATAGAAAAGGGTAACTGCAATACAATCTAATGATCTCTAGTGGGTTTTTGGTCAAAATTCTTAAATGGAATCTGGGCTCTGTTCACCTTCATTAAAGTCAGAGAAGTGCAATTATATGTTGTGTGGCCACAGAAATCCAGCCCATGCAGACGGCAGGGGAGGAAAAGTCCTGTCTGAAACCAACACCTAGAAACAGACACTCAAGTAACATCTGTTGGGTGAATCAATGAAGAAAATGGCATACATATGCACCACAACAGGTATCTGTCTCTGTAACAAACTGTCCTGGGCATTTTGAACTCTGGGCACAAAGGCGGGAGTGATTTAGAAGATGACAAAATGATGCCCAAGAAAAACAGAACTCCTGAGTTGTGAGGAGAGACGGAGCCAAATGACCACAGGAGGCCTGGGCTGGAAGGCATGTTGGCCACTTGATCTCCCAAAGGGATCAAAATGAAAACAGTCACAGCAGGCCAGCCTGTGTGGGAGGAGCTAGATCTGGGAGAGTCACAAAAAGCCCACTGGAAGGCATCACAGTTTCAGAAGCAACACCAACCAGACAGGAGGATCTGTCAAAGGGGAGCTGAGGACACATGGCTGCCTCTTCCTGGGCAGCTGGCCTGGGTCCAGGCAGAAGGACAGAGAAACCAGCAGAGCCTTTGTGGGTCACATGGCTCTGATTGCCATGATTAGTGCAATATCGATCGATATTGCAAGATTAGGGACTAGAGGAATCTCACACCCACAGCTGGTCCACCCCCCCACCAAACATGCTAACTTCCAAAGCTGTGGGGAAAGAGATTAAAGAGCTAAATCAAAAACTCTATAAAGATGCCCAGCTGGCATGGCTCAGCAGTTGAGCACTGACCTATGATCCAGGAGATGACCTATGATCCAGGAGATCAAGGTTTGATTCCCCATCAGGGCACATGCCTGGGTTGCAAGCTCGATCCCCAGTAAGGGATGTCCAAGAGGCAGCCAACTGATGACTCTCTCATCATTGATGTTTCTATCTCTCTCTCCCCCTCTCCCTTCCTCTCTCTGAAATCAATAAAGACATATTTAAAAATAAAGATCTTCTCTTTAAAAAGAAACAAAAAACAAAAAAAAACTCTATAAAGAGCGAGCAGAATTTCCCAAAGGAGAGAAACCCTGGGCCAGGCAGGCCCTGAGAACACACGTGCCCGTACCCCAAGCCCCAAGCATGACCCACCACAGAGAAATTAGTGGAGCTTTCAGCTGAGGGGGTGAAGGGGGTTCAGGAAGGCTAGATAACCTGGTACTTAAGAATATGAGTTCCTAGACTAAGAGAACCCACTGAAAACAGCCCCACACCATGTTGTCATGAAATTTCAGATACTGAAGATAAGGAGAGACCCTAAATGCTTTCTGAGAGAGAAAAAGAGATTGGGAATCAGAATGGCAATGGACCCCTCAACAGCAATGCTGGAAACCACAGAGCAATGCTTCCAAATTTCAAGGATTTGAATGTTCAATTGATATTCTACACACAAACTACCAATCAGTATGAAGTTTCTAGACTGAGAGAGCCCACTGGAAGCAAAGGGACTCAGGTCAGGATGCAGAGGTTGGAGGTGGGTGCTCACTGTTCCTTTAGGCTACAGTGACCACCTATCTAGCTATAATACGTGTTACTTTTAATATATATGATAAATTACAACTCCCAAGAAAACCAGTAGTACCGGGAAATAGATCTGCTTAGGAATAAGGTTCGCATGCATTCTGAGTATTTTAAACCAACACGTGTGGGGACCCCCAATGAGCCTCTTACCACGGAATGGTGCATTTGTTGCCATAGCATTTCTCAGCTAACTGCTGAAGCTTCAGGATTCGCTCCGCTTGAATCTGGAAAAGGGTCTTATGCGATGGCAAGCCAACATCATACATCCCCTTGGGGTATGCAACACCGAGCCGTGTCCCCTGCCCACCAGCTAGAAGAAGAACTGCCACTTTGCTCTGAGAAATCTGGAGAAGGCCTAGGAAAGAAAACACTGCATCACAAAAGCTCTATAACCCAGAACTTTAAGATCAATCCCAAAGGTCACCCTCCCCCATACCCAACAAGGGCTCCACACATGATCACGGGTGATGCTCCTTAAAATATCTTTATTATTAAAAATTAATTTGTACAACCCAACCAAACAACAAATAATATACTTTAATGAATAGTTTTCTTTATGATAATGTTGGAAAGCAAAGACCAAGAGATGTTACGAATGTCTTACAAGTACTGACTACTAGGTAAGTCAAGAAACAGACAGGATAAAGAGGATGCTCTTGAACTACCTCCAGACTATAAATCAATCAGTAATAAGTAATCAATCAATGAGCATGCAAATATCCTAGGCAAGCTGCCATGCAGTAAACATAAAGAACATCAGCCACAATGGCTAGAAGCTAGGCTCTGGAGTCAGGATGCCTGGGTGTGAAACCCACTTGACTGGACGTGCTAAGGGATGTGCCTGCAAAATGAAAGGAGGCGGCTGGGGGATGGACATGTTCTATCTTTTGACTAGGGTGATGGTTACATCAGAGTATAAATTTGTTAAAACTCCTAAGACTAGTACATTAGTGTATATAATTACACTCCAATAAAATAGCTTAACATGCCTTTTTAGTGGGCCATCCAAAGCAGCAGCAGGAAGTGAGAACGAGTCTTTCTGCTGCTGGTTTATTTTGGGCACTGGGAGCTGGTCGGTCAGTTTTCACCAGCTGAATGTTCAGCAGTAAGTGATAACCAACCACAGTGCTTGAATAAAAATTTTATTCTTAACATCAAAATAATTCAAGATGGATTTAAGATCCAAATGCAAACAAATGAAAGTGTTATTCAAACACAGAGGCTTTCGGTTTGGATTCTTTTTTAAATCAGCTCAATCTCTCTGCCTACCATGTCTAAGAGCCACTTCGTGCTCACACTAAGGTGATGTCTCAGCACCAGGCAGGGTGACTGGGGGGAGGAGACAGTGTGGATGCTTGGAAGCTGGAAGAGCTAGGAAGTGTCAGGTGAGATAAAGCAGTAACGGATGGCTTTTGTTCTTGTTTCTTGAATTTCATACTTTCATTAAAGTTCTCAGAAACTCTGTGAACAAAGCCGGCCACTGGCCACAGCTGTAGGCCAAGCCGGGGCTGAAAGGTGGGGTGGTGGTGAGTATCAATTATTGTTATTTTCATATCCTTAGGTAATGTGGGTTTGTCTAACTTACCAGCTTTGTGCTTTACATGTTTTTGATATACTAATACATGGAGAACATTAAAGTAATATCCTAAATAAGTTCATTATAAAATGGGAACTGTCCCCAGTCCTGGCTGTACAATCTGTCTACATTAGAAAATAAGTATAGCCCAAGGACATTATTCAGCAAATTTATAGATTTTTTTTTTCAATCAAAAAATTTAAAAACACATTAGATTTTTCTGTAATGTCCCCTTTGATATGAAGCTGACTTCAGCTACCCGACAGGGCTCACTCCCCACCACTCCATGCACCTCTCATCGCACCCCGACAGTTAACGGGTACATACTGCTCCATCACTATGAGGATGGACAACTTCCCCTTTTCCTGTTTCTTTCCTGCCCTTTCTCCTCTTTCCACTGAATTTACCAGACATTGTGCTGCCTTTTTCTTAATCTCTTACCCACCACCCTAAAAGGAAAGAGAGGCTGCCAGGCAGGGAAGAGCCCATGCTCTCCCAAACTTGCCACACACTGAACTTTCCAACAGCATTCCAGACCTGAGTCTCCTACATCCCATCACCCTGTGAAACAGACTGACTGACAAGAAGCAACTTAAGGGAGTAGGGAGCCATGGAAGGCAGTTGTGGAAACTGCTTTACATTTGTGTATTCCCTGAGCTATCAAAGAAACATGGTTTCTAAGGAGTAAACTTAATTCTACTGTCTTTGACCCAAAAGCATCGTTTTAAAATACAAGTCCACAATCCCTTACCTACCGTGGGGGATACTTGTCTCAGAATGCAGAACCTCTCAAAACTTAGGAAAGGAATACGGCCACGTAGCGTGTTCATTCGGCCCCCAGCAGAGCTGAGAGCACTGAACCATACTGAGTGTCTGGTCATGTCAGGTTCTGTGCCATTTAGAACTGCAGATAGACCACTTTGGTCTGTCCCAACCCACGCAAACCTCCACAGGTGTCAGAATGAAAGACATGTCTGAACATGCCCCCAGAGGCCAGTCTTGCTGTTGTGTTTTCTTCCAACAGGACATGTGTTTGAGTTGCTTCATGCTGATGTGGCTCGAGCCATCCCTTCTGTGTCTTACTGTCACCTTCAGTCCCTTGGCTGCCTCCCTGTGAAAGGTAAGAGCCAGGCTCCTAGCAGCTGGTGTCTCCCTCCTCCTTGCCTGGTGGATATTCAGCATCCATCAGGTTTTTTACAGGTTCCAGTCAGTTATCCAACATCACTGTATAAAATTCCTCCTCCTTGGGTCAGCGCCCTAAACTACTACTTCGTTCCAGCTTTCCAAATGTTCCCATTTTGAAGCTTTGCTGCCCAGCAGCTCACAGAGGCCTCATTCTTTATCCAAATAAATGGTACATGTTTGTTTCTGAAGCCCGTGTCTATCAGACTTTCCTCAGTTCTCCTCTCTGTCCATGGGCCTGACAGCCCACCCATCACCATGTCTCCAGAGTAGCCATGAGGGGATGCCTGCCGGGACACAAGTCCAGGCACATCACACATACATCTCATTGCCATCCAGCCACACCTGCTGCAGTGACAAGCAGCACAGTCCACCCTACCTGCGATAAAAAGGTCCTGCACTAACTTCTGCTCATGAGTCTCACTCTCAAGCGGACAAAAAGTCGAGAGGAAAGAAACCATCCCCAGAAAGTCAAGGCCAGCTGCAATCAGGAAATAACTGCAGCTACAGCTGTTGTTGACAATATCAAGTTGCTACTACAATAAAACTGCAATGTTTACCAAACCTGTGTCACACTCCCTGGCCGGTTTGGCTCAGAGGTTAGAGCCTCGGCCCTTGGGCTGAAGGATCCTGGGTTTGATTCCAGCCAAAGGCACATACCTTGGTTGCAGGCTCAATCCCTGGCCCTGGTCTGGGCTCATGCAGGAGGCAAATAATTGATGTGTCTCTCTCACATCGATGTTTCTCTCTCTCCCCCCTCTTTCTCTGAAAAACAGTGGAAAAAATATCCTCGGGTGAGGGTTAAAAAAACAACAACAAACACTGTGTCACACAAGTTAGTGTCTGTCTCACAATGACAGGTACATTCTGCTTCAAAGTCGGGGCCAATAAAATTCAGTCAGCCTTTTAGTTACATGGCAATAGTAATGATTTCAAACTGGGTGTCATAACATAAATTTCATATGGGAGACCGCACCCACCTAAAATGTTATCTGAGTATAAATGTACTTAATCCACGCACCAGTTAGGAAATTATGAACTACTCCTATTTCAAATCTGCAGATATAGGAAAAACCTGAAAAATACATCAGTGTGTCATCCTATCTTCCCCTTACAGGACACAAGAGTTAAAGTCTCCTACAGCAGGCACCTCGACACAGACCAAATCAGGTTTCAAACAAAACACCAAGGCAGAGGGGCCATTTCCAGGTTGGGTCCATGCCCCTCTCCCTGGAGTCACAAGCACCTTTCCCAGCAGCATTCATAGGAGGAGGGAGAGTCTGCAGTGACGTGTCAGCTCTAATGCTTCCTGGGCAATATCCGGCTTGGACAAGTTCCTTTCACACACCTTGACTTGGGCACCTGCCTGACCCTGGGAGGGCACACAGGTGCTGAAGTGGAGGCTGCCAGATTTTCCTCCTAAACAGTCAAACCCAGGGATGGGGGAAACAGGCTGCTCCACGAGGAGAGAGAAAGAGGGCGAGTCTGAGCGGGCACTTTAAGTCGTTAATATTTAATCACAGCTGAAGCTATGATTTTACAGATTAGCTATTTCCCCCAAAATGTTAAACACATTTTTGAGCACGTTAGTTAAACAGACTAATCAAGGAAATCTCTACTTGAGCCAGTTTTAATTACCAGGGGATTATTGTGAATTTCATTAGGTATAAAAATGACATTGTGAGCAGTAAGAAAATGTCCATGCTGCTGAACTCTATGAGGGTAAAATAACATGATGTTGGAGGTTTGCCTTAAAATACAACAGCACAGAAAAAGAGGGATGAAGCAGCAATAGCATAGTTTTGATAATTATTTAATCAAGGTGATGCATATGTGGGAGTTCATTACACTGTTTTTCTCTCTAAATATCTGTTTCAAAATACACTTGAAATTTTTCATAATAACATATTCTTAAAGCAAGCTACAAAATTATACACAAACCATAATCGTGTGTGTGTGTGTGTGAAAATACCATAAAATATTACCACTGAGTATTTGTCTCTGGATTGTGGGATGGCATAAATTTCTATTTTTGCCTCTGTAATTTTTAGTTATTTTCCAACTTCTCCAAAATAGGCATGTGTTACTTTTAAAATAAAATAAATCTGTTAAAAATGTCACTGCAGCCCTGGCCAGTGTGGCTCAGTTGGAGAGCTGTCTCGTATACCACAAGGTTCTGATCAATGTTCTCTCTCACATCGGTATTTCTTTCTCTCTCTCTCCCTTCCCCACTCTCTAAAATCAATAAGCATATCCTCAGATGAAGATTAAAAAAAAAAAGTCACCGCACTAAATCTCAGAAAATGTCAAGGAGGCCACCTTCTGAACACATTTTTCTAGACAACACATTCACTTTCTACCTCAGCACTGCATGGGAGAGAACCACCCTTAAGATCAATTTTTCAAATGTCTCATAGATAAAAAAGGCTAATACTGAATATTAATTTGCTATTATAAAATCAAAAGATTTTTTTTGTGCTTAGTTTGAGCATGTGTTTATTTAAAAAGAAAAGGGGTGGTTATTAAGCAAATATACTTTCCCATTGTGAGTGTCTTTACTAAATGACTCCTGGTCGAAGCTTCTACCTCTCTGTCAAGAGCTCAGCCTGTGAGACAGCTTCGGCTGCTCCATACCTTGCAGAGCATGTCTAGGCTTAGCACAAGCCCCCTCATCAACAGGGAGCACTGTGGCCATGCACACACTTATCCTTCAGAAGTAATTCTCCACCCCAGGTGGCTCATGTCCACTATCACGTCAGAGCCACCAGACACTCTGGGATCACTGCCCAATGCTTCTATCTGCCCCATTCCTAGGGGAGTAAAAAACTCTCTCTCATACGGTTATCAGGTCTTCCTATTTCCTGAAATACAGCATCAGTCTTCACAATGGCAGTCTCCTCCCTGTGACAACTGCCTGTGGAGCCTCACTTTGTCACGAATCTGTACACGGAAGTTTCTGGCTAAGTGAAGAGGATATGAAGTCAGTTACGACGTCTCTCCACGCCTACTGTTTAAATCACAAATAAACACTGTTCCCTGACATTACGCCAAAAGGAAGTTTGCTTTGTACTTCTTATACTAGGCTAGACTGTCATAGCTCCAGTCTTTAGTTTAAAGGAAAAGTCATCAATGTAGACTAGTTTTACAGATTCCAACAAAAAGGTCACAAAAAAGACTCAAATACAGGAAGCCTTGATAGGTGCTCATAGTCCCCGTTTTACAAGCTCAAAGCCTTGGGTTTCCATAAGAGTTCATTCTAACACTTCACCCTCGTAAAACTGCAAAGAGAAATACTGGCAGCTGGGATACTCCAGGGTAAGTAGAGGCCTGTGTGGCTTCTGATTGGAGTAGCAGACTTTTAGAAACGCAGGGAAGGAGGAAGGATTGCAAATCCACAGTCAGCAGGGGTCATGGTACCACCACAGTTAACAGTATCTCCATCCAGAAGGCCCATTCGGAAGCCACTCTCTCACCGCTCAGTGGTGAGCCCTCCTCTCAGTAAGAAGCTAGGTTACTCACAGCCAAGCATTTTAGAGTTGCCTTTGCAGATAGTCCAACTAATTTCAATGTTTTTTCATCTCTAACCTCTTTTAAATAAAACTCACGCAAAGATCAGATACAGATAAAACGAGTCAAGTAGAATTGCTCCTGTAGTGGGAGGTGAAGGGGTTGGAGACCCACCTATTTAGACTCTGCTCCCCCACCCTAAATGAGACACAAGACAGTTTCCTAGGAGTAGAAGCTCTAGGGCTCTTTGGAGCACATTTTGAAAACCAGTAAATCTGTAAGCCCAGAGAAAGATACGGAGAGCCATACAGAAGGTTGATAATGGCAATTATCTTTCTTTTTTTGTGAGGGGCAGGGAGTGCCAAACAACAAAATAAAAACAGCCATGCCCTCCCGGCTGGTGTGGCTCAGTGGTTAAGCCTATGAACCAGGAGATCATGGTTCAATTTACAGTCCGGGCACACGCCTGGGTTGTGGGCTCGATCCCCAGCAAGGCGTGTGCAAGAGGCCGATCAATGACACTCTCTCATCATTGATGTTTCTCTCTTTCCCTCTGCCTTCCTCTCTCTGAAATCAATAAAAACATATTGGAAAAAAAAACCAGCCATGCCCTGGCTGGTTTTGCTCACTGGTTAGAGCATCGGCGCACAGACTGAAGGGTCTCGGGTTTGATTCTGGCCAAGGGCATGTACCTCGGTTGCAGGCTTGATCCCCCGCCCCAGTCAGGATGCGTGCAGGAGGCAACCAATTGATGTGTCTCTCTCACATCGAAGTTTCTTTCTCTCTCTCTCCGCCCCCTTCCACTGTCTCTGAAAAGCAATGGACAAAATATCCTCAGGTGAGGATTACCTAAAAAAGAGCCGTGTGTAGTGCAAATGCAGACCCGCAAGATTGTATCTGTAATACTACTGCACATCGAGGACAGTAAACGTATATAATCAAGTACTAGGCTGTGGTGGGAGCAAGTAAAAAAGGATCTGATGAGGTTACAGGCAATTTCTCCATAGTATTCCTGATATTTTGATATTACTTTTGCAATAATGTTTTTTAGGAAGGAACAGAATCAGTCCAGCCTTCTCACTGAGAAGATGAGGCCCGATCTGACGGGGAACAAGCACAACACTCAAGGGTATAGGCTGCGCTGCTAGTCAGCCTTTTACTCAGAAAGGGGTAGACTAGAAAAAGCACAGCTCTTAACTCCACCAAAAAAGCAAGATTTGAGCTATTTTCTCATTCTCAAAAGCATTAACTAGTACTAGTTATTGGGACAGTTCATGATCTGCTTTAGAAGGAAAAGCATCGGGCAATTCAACAAACATTATTCACCAACTAGTAACTCAAAACCCTGTTCTAAGTGCTACATGACACGTAGCCGAGCAGGACATGGCATGGCTGCTCTGCAGGTCACAGTGCAGTGAAGACAGGTGTAAACAGTTCTTACCACAGGTGGAATGAAAGAGAAGCCTGGACAAATAACTGCAACTTAGGACACAGAAGTCAAGGTCAGACAGTGCATGGTGGGGCTTAGAGAAGGGGTATGAGTTCCCCACGTGGCAGAGCTCAAGAAAGGGCCTCACAGGTGGCCCAAAGGCTGGCCCTCTCAGGGCAAGCATGAGAAGAGGAGGGAGGCACAACAAATGTTCGGAGGAGAACCGTCTGGCCTGCCTAACGACGTGCGGCCAGCAGCATGGAGAGAAAGAGCGGAGGCAGGGTTGAAGGGCACATTCAGGCCAGGTGGGGACAGTGTTTATAGTTCAAGCCGCATAAACATGTAACTTGTGCTTCGGGAAGAAAACCTAGAAGTACGAAAACTGAGGGAGGAAGGAAGAGACTAGAGGCAATTTAAGACTTGAAAGAGGAGTGGTTCGAATCAGGCACCAGGAATGAACAGAGAACGCAGGGACCAACAATGGGAGACACTGCACAGTCAGCGCATCTCACCCAAACCTCGGAACAAACCATTCACTGCCAGTACCTTCACTCTCCCAGGCCTGGAGCTGGTCTTGATCCCTAGTAGCACTGCCCAGCACCTCCCGGGGCACAGCTTCCATCCGCGCATCCACCTTCTCTTGCTGGGAGGACTGGTTAAATCCTTCAGTGGCCTTTTGGAAAAAGATGTTCAGCTCCTCAAAGTTCATGGCCTGGAGCTCTGAATATAGTTCTACCTGCTGGGCTTTGTCCAGCTCATCCCAGAACTGTAGCAGGTGCTCCTGTCCAGCTTTGGACAACCTGAGTTTGAGGTCACTGACATTCATGATGCTCTGGGCACCAAGCTCTGTGAAAACAGGTGTGATTTCTGCACCTAGAAACCTACAAGAGAAAAGAAATCAACTGCAGGTCAAAGTCCAGCCTCAAAACCTGATGAGTTTTTCCTAAAATGAACTTCTGCCTTCCCGCCAGTGTCTGTAAGGCACCCAAGTTGTAAGACGACACTTCCATTATATCCCGGGCACTGCACTAAGCACTTCACCTACATGGTCTCATTCAGTTGTTGGAGCTAGGACAGGAGCCCAGACTGAATCCCGGCTCATCCGCTACCATGTGTAGTTACCTCTCCTCTGTACAATTCCTCTGACCATAAGCTGCCACTAAAAGAATGTCTGACAGCCTAATATTTTGAGTGTTCTCCTTTTATCTCTAATGATGGCAATAACTCCACTGTATTCAGAATACAAGACTTGAGAAAACAAGACCACCTATACTCATGAAAAATATTTTATTTCAACAGCAACTTCTGCAGAGAGGGGATAAAAACATGTGCATTATCTTTATTAAAAACTGAACCCTTAAGGGGACAAGCAATACACACAGAACCAATGGGTAAGACAATGTTTTTTAAGAGCATCTGTGATAATACAACAAAACATTAAACTGACTAGCACTAGAAGAGAACGGGGAAACAGGCAATCAGCTAGGTTATCAGAGAAAATGAAAGAGTTCACAGTGGAAGGAAGCACACACAGCTGTGCCTGGAGGGCTAGGCAGATGACAAAGATAAGATTAGGAACAGGCACAGCTGGTGGCCACCAGAAGCAGGCATGTGTGGGAGGCAGGGCAGTAAAATGTGGGCATTTTATGTGGAATGATGGGAAGGGACATGGGTAGGGCTGAACCAAGAAGGGTTCTGAAGATTAAGTAGAGAGATTTAAACCTGAAGGCGAATAACAGGAAAAGGAACCCAACAGCATGTTTCTAAACCGGCAGCGTCACCTGCTTCAGAGACAACAGAGAGGAACAGAGGCCTAGAGAGAAGACAACCAGAAGCAGAAAAACAAGGGACGACAACGCAGTACAATGAACCAAAGGCGATGAGAGAGAGGGAGGGAGGGAGGGAGGGCGGACGGACTGTGAGGTGAGGTCGCAGACGGAGACTGCTCAGCTCAGACCTGAAGGATAGAGGAAAAGACATGAAGGCACCAAGGAAACAGCCCACTGTATGCCACAGTGAGACTGGTGAGGCAGTGTCCACGCAGTTCAAACAGTATCTGCCTGGGCAGGACCACCGCACATCAAACACCATCTACAACGCAGAAGCAGCACCATCCTAACTGCCCTGCAGAAACTGTGTCTTTAATCCTCAGAACGACTGCAGACACTGCTACTAGGATCACTTTACAGGAAGAAATGGAGCCACAGAGACCACTTTCCCAGGGCCCCCCACTAGTGAGAGCTGGGATTCCAATCTCAACAGATGACTCTCAAAGTCATGCTCTTAACCATCAAGCTGCACTGCCTGTCAGGAGAAGACTATCCGTGTGCCTGTGCGTGTGTGCATATAAAAGAGAAAGGTGGCAAGAAAGACACATTCATATGGCATTTATTCAGAAATAGACAGACACAACTGATGTTCTTGTAGCTGACTTGCTTTGCAAAAACGTCAGTGAAGTGGAGAAAGGAAAAAGAGGCACAGGACACACAGTGAGGAACTTCACAGGACAGGTAAACACTTCCTTTTAAAAGCACTGTTTCTCTTTATTCTACACTGGGAATGTTGATCAAAACCAGAAACTTCTCGGAAGTGACTTTAACAGTGTTCACTCGAAAATAAACTTGGGAAAGACATTATAATCCAACAGAGACAGACACAGAACTTCTAGATATTTTTCTCTTAGCTAGATGACCCCCAAAACTGAAGTACAGACTGGCTCCACGATTCCTCTTATAAAATCCACTTCTCATTACATGAGCAGGTAAGACTGAGTGTGTTCTATTCACAGCTTATATTTTGTTTGTTATTTAGATCTACTTCGGGGACAGAATACTCGAATGTGAAAGGAATGGTACCCCCTGTAAAACACACTTTCCTAGTTACCACTGATTCATACCCACACTGAGGCTTGTACATGAAGTGAAAATGAGAGCCTGCTGATTATGAGTGGGACGCGGCTCTACCGTGCTGTCACCTCAGACCCCAACCCACCCTCCATGTCCTTCCTTCAGTCTCTTCCATCTCTAGGAACCCAGCCATCCTCAGAAGCCCCTCACACACTGCATCCAGCCTAAAGTGAGTCTTTATGGGTTGGGGAACCAAACAGAACCAACTTTTACTCCTGATTCTATTGCTTGAGCCAAGGAGCAGATGCGTTCAATAAAATTTCCCTCACAAGGCTCAAAGGCATAAACAAAATAACCCTTACAACCAATGAGAAAATGAGGCTCAAAGAGACTAAGTAATTGCCCTAGAAGACAGAAAAACAGGAATTCCAACCCAGAATTTTGACCCTGGCCCTAAAGCCTAAGACCTTTCCACAATACAACAATGTCTCTCATAAAAGCAGAGGAAATACTAACCATTCAGCTCAAGGTCTCACATGCAATTGGGGTAGTAACCAGCATGGGCTCGGGGTCAGACTGGCTGGGGTGATGTCCCAGCTCCTGTCTCCTAACTTTGCGACCTTGAGCAAGTTATTTAGTCTTCCTGTGCCTTGATTTTCCTCATCTGCAAAGAAAGGACAAAGACAGTACTGTCTTGTAAGGTGAAGAGGACTGAGGTATTAATACAATGCAAAGCACTTAACCATCCCTGGCACCTAGGAAGCCCTGTCTCCGTCCTCTAGTCTAAAATGCAGTGTGCTCCAGACCGCTGAGCCACAGCCTCCTGAACATAAGCACAGCCATTACCAGAGTCGGGCTTTGGAGGATGAAGGTTGTCTCAGGCTACAAGAACTGAGAGAAAAGTCCAGTCAGTGAGAACAGAACGAACAATAACTGAATCAATGTGTTCCAGAACAGGAACAGTGCTTCAAAAGGCTGGATTTTCATCAGGATGGTAGTTTTGCTAGACGAAAGATGGCAGGCCCACAGCCACCTCCTCACAACACGTATAAACAGCTTCCTCTAACCGTTTCCTTGAATATGCAAAGATGCATCGAGAGGCTTTTAGAAGGAAAACTTTGAAACTTCCATTGCCATTAATTCACTCAACAAATATTTCATGAGTACTTTGGTCAGCCAGGTGCTCATCCAGGTGATAGGAACACAGCAGTGGGTAAAGCAACTATATGCATGCCCACACTCCAGCACCAGAGATAGTAACAGTGTCAGGAGTGTGATAAGGCAAGTGCTATGAAGAAAAGCAAAGCAGGCCCAGCCAGTGTCGCTCAGTGGTTGGACATCGACCCATGAACCAGGAGGTTCCGGTTTGATTCCTGGCCAGGCCACATGCCTGGATAGTGGGCTCGATCCCCAGTAGGGGGCATGCGGGAGGCAGCTAGGAAGTTTCAAAGTTTTCCTTCTAAAAGCCTCCCAATGCATCTTTGCATATTCAAGGAAACGTTTAGAGAAACCTATTCATATGTGTCAGTGAGAAGGTGGCTGTGGGTCCATCATCTTTCATCTAGTAGAACTAGATGTTTCTCTCTCACCGATGTTTCTCTCTATCACTCTCCCTTTCCTCTCTCTCTAAAATCAGTTTTTTTAAAAAGAGAGAAAGAAAAGCAAAGCGTGATGGGGCTAAAGAGCAGGGGCTGGTGGTAGGTACTCCAGACAGCGGTGTGGTGAGGCAGGGCCTCACTGAGACCTCAATGATCAGCATCTTGGGGAGGAGCCTCCAGGCTGAGGAACCTTCAGCAGCAGCAGCCACAGGACAGGCAGGTGCTTGGCCTGTTCAAGGCAGGCAGGAAAGTTGATGCAGCTGGAGCAAGGTGATCAAAGCAAAGGGTGACAGGAAACGAGGCTGGAAAAATGAGCAGAGGCTACTTCACTAATGCCCTGTGGTCAAGGCAAGGACATTGGGGCCCGGGAAGCCAGTGGGGAATTTGGAGCAGGGCAGTATCTTGGTCTGGCTCAGGTTTTAAAGGGTCATTCTGCTGCTCTGTGGGAAAAAAGACCATAATGAAGGCCACATGGAGCCAGCAGTCGGGGAACTACCCAATCATCTGTGAACGAGAGATGACGGTGGCTCTGTGCGATCAGTGGTAAAGGCAGTTCTTAGGGTGGACCTAGAGGACTGGGTCACAGCTCAAGACTGGAGTAATAGAATCACAGGCATCAAGCAAAGGCAACTCTAGGCAGTGTCCCATATCCTGAGTGGGGACACACAGGACAGGCACCAATTTGGGGATGCATGCAGAGTGGGAGGGTAGATCTCCACGCTGGGTCACGGTCAGCTGGAGATGGGAATTCAGAGGTCATGGTCATACAGGACGCTGCTTGCGAGCTCAAGGAGATGCCCAAGGAGGACAGGCAGAAACAGAGCAGCCTTAGGAAAGTCCTCCTGGATGGAAAAGTTTAATGTGAACCTGTCTCTAGCGGTCTTTTCTATACGGGGTAATTTCAAAGCTAAGTAACGGCATCCTAGCTCCTGAAACCTATGCACATGAATAGGAAGGCCTTTTAATTCCTCGGCTGTCCGAGGTCGGGGAGGCTCGGCAGGAGGCAGGAGGCAGGAGCCAGGAGCGAAGAAGAGGAAGCCCTC